CCTGCCTCCTCCTCTCTCCTCCTGCCTCCTCCTGCCTCCTCATATCTCCTCCTGCCTCCTCTCTCCTTGTATCTCATCATTCTGTCACCTTTTCTCTTCCTCGTCCCTCTTTTCCGTCTCTTTTCCTTCCTTTGGCCGTTTTTCTGTCTCCTGAAGTCCTCTAACAGCTTCACTTATCTGTCGGATTCATCCACGTTTGCTTGTGTTCCTCCCCCGTCTGCCCCCCTCTACGCCCCCCTGCTCAGATCTGGGTGCACAGCGCTCATAACGGCAGCGGCTACTACAGCGGCTACGGCGAGGAGGTCCTCCAGTCCGACCACTTCAGCTCCAGGCTCAGCTTCGGGGACACGCAGACGGTCTGGGCCCGGACGGGTTACCTGGGCTTCCTGCGCCGCACCGAGCTCACCGACGCCAACGGAGGTGAGTCTCGCCCCCCCCCCCGCCGCCGCCGCCTGCTCGGCCCGTCAACGCCAACATGGCCGACGCCCTTTGTCTCTTTGTGTCTCCAGAGAGGCACGACGCTCTGTTCGTGGTGGGCGCGCTGGAGGAGGCCATGGAGCTGAGGGGGATGAGGTACCACCCCATCGACATCGAGACCTCCGTCATCCGCGCCCACAAGAGCATCATGGAGTGGTGGGTTCACCACCTGTGCCTGCGCCTCCTTCTTCTCCTCGCCAGCAGCATATCGACTAACAAACAAACGTCACGCATTCCAACATCTAACGGCCAAAGAGGCGGAGCTCCGCTGTTCCTCTGGCGTCCCGCCGCCTCTAGTGGCTCAGAATTAATCCCGTTTCCTCCTCAGTGCCGTCTTCCCCTGGACCAACCTGCTGGTGGTGGTGGTGGAGCTGGAGGGCTCCGAGCAGGAGGCCCTGGACCTGGTTCCCATGGTGACCAAGGCGGTGCTGGAGGAGCACTACCTGATCGTGGGCGTCGTCGTGGTGACGGACATCGGCGTGATCCCCATCAACTCCCGCGGCGAGAAGCAGCGCATGCACCTCCGGGACGGCTTCCTGCAGGACCAGCTGGACCCCATCTACGTGGCCTACAACATGTAGCCTGTGCGTGTGCGTGTGCGTGTGCGTGTGCGTGTGTGTGTTGGGGAGCGAGCATGCCGTGCGTTTTGCCGTTGATGTCCATTTATTTCCCAGACTCAGATGTACTGTATTTTTGAACCTGCATTGTGTGTTTAGTCGTTTCTTTAAAGTCGTGTTGTGCCGGTCGATCGGTCGGTTGGTTGATTGACTGGTTGGTTGATTGACTGGTTGATTGATTGATGGCTCGTGGGGGCGGTCACTGTAGGAAGCCTTCGGGGGTCACTGTGTTCGGGGCGACGGCTCCACTCGTTTCTAGGAGGTCAAAGTAGGAAAAGTGAACTGAATCCGTCTTCATGTTTTACTGAACCGACCCAAAAGAAGAGAACAAATATTTAAATTTAAATTAGAACAGATAATTGTAAAAAATATACATATTGTACATAGACATAATAATCTATATGGAGAGGTACCTGAAAACACAATGAGGTATAGTAGCCCCTATATGCAGCTCTCCACCTGCACCCTGTGTGTGTCTGTGTGCGCGCGTGTGTTACAGTGCGACAGGGACGTTTTACGTGGTTTTAATGTGATTCGCGCAGCAGATTTTATCGGTCGACAAGGGAAAATGAAACTTTCTGATTTAGAATTTGAACACTTAAACAAAGAAAAAATCCCAGAAAGAAAAAAAACATTATTTTGAAGTTTTTAAATCTACACAAATTGAAATACAACTTAAGTGCAATATGTTTGCGAAAAGGTAGTTGATTTAATATTAATCCATTTTTTTACATGGCGGTTTCAGGTTGTCATGACGACAGCTCGTCTCGATTGACACCCGACGACGCCGTCTCGTCCTTCTGTTCAGAAACCAAGCAGTTTGTTGGTAGCAGCGTCATGACTCCCTGTGTGTGTCTGCGTATGTGTGTGCGCGTGTGTATTGTATGTAAATAGTGTTGATTTTGTACGGTACAAGTGTGTGTGTGACTTGTTTTGTACACATGATAAAAAGGTAAAATGACACTTTTATAAGAGCCTCTATTGGCTCCCCGTCACACTATACAGTGCAATAAAGTGCTTTGATTGGCTACAACGGATGTCATTTATTAAGTTTGTATCATCGTTATGTGACTGTTTGTCTCTTTTCTTCACAAACGTATTTTTTTATCACATAAACAAAAACAAAGTTTATTTTAACAAAATATGATATCACTTTTTTTCTCTTCATTTTGTCCATAACGCAGGGGGTGGTTTAGGGCGGGGCTACACGCTGATTGACAGGTCGCTGAAGGACCATAAATCGGCAGGGTATGCTTTGGGCGGGGCTTATTGTGATTGACGGGTATCTTAAAAGCGGAAATGAAAGGTCCTGTTTACGTGTGGTTAATTGTCTTTGCGGTCCTCCACGTGGTGCCGCTGCTGTCGCTTCATAGTAAAACACTCGCGCAGGTCGGCGGGAGCGCGCATGGGTCTGAGAGGCGTGTGACCCGGATGCGCGCGGACCGCACCACAGCTCCACTTCGACTCCGCACGCCGGAGCGTCCCGGTGCTTCTCCCGAGCGGGGACCTTCGGTTCGGTCCGTCGGACTTTTCAAAAGTTTGATTCTGAGGATTTTTGTTCGCATTTAACGATCATTGAAGTCTTTCTGGCTCGTGCGTAAAGCTGCCGAACCAGACGAAGAAGAATAAACTATAAGACGGCAGACAGCACCTGACCACGCGAGCCGCTTCCAGGTGGACCGGATGACGTAGGATGTCCTTTACGCACCGGCTCGCGCTGCTGCTGCTCGGCGTCACGTTCATCCACACGGTCAGTGACCCCCCCCCCCCCCCCCCCTTATCCCACTAATACAAACACTGTTAACAGAAACGTCTCATTATTAACGAGGTGAATATTTAGTTTTAATTGGCTTGACGTCATAATTATGACCTTTATAAACGAATTCCCTCTGAAACTAAAATGCTGTTGTTATTATAATGCTTTAAGATTCTTCCCCTCTGCTGCTGATTTGAGTGTAAATGAGCTCAAACGTTTTATAATTATTCATATTCATAAGTCTGCAGATGTTTCAGAGCTCACAGTTTATTCCTGATGAGAAATATTACTTAATTTATTATAAACAACACATAAACATTCTTTTCAACCAAAGACGTTTGCACGTTTAAAAACATGTATTATGAATTTTATTTCTGCCTTTAACAAACTTGTTATTTTTATTTCAAGTGGCCTTTTTTCTTTTCATCTCATCATTTATTCCCTTTTAGTTTCTTTAAAGTGTTGATTTTGAAGTTTTGTTGCATTCAGGGAACTTCGGTAAAAAGGGGACTCTTCTCTTTGTAATTGTCAACAAGCTGAGCAGGAGCTGGTGACACATAAATAACGGTGCTTTGCTGTAGATGTAAACTCTCTCATGGAGACGGTACTTTTTATTCTACACAACCGAGACAAAGACAAGATGTGGTGCTTTTATTTTGTAATGTTCTTTTTTTTTTTAGGTCAGACGGGTTCAAGATTTCTTTATGAAATGAGTGTGTGTGTGTGTGTGTGTGTGTGTGTGTGTGTGTGTGTGTGTGTGTGTGTGTGTGTGTGTGTGTGTGTGTGTTATAAACACACTGACAGGTCTGAAAACCGTCTGAGAGGCAGTATGTCTCAATGTAAACAGACCTCTAACACGCACACACACACACCCAAGGTGACTTCATTGATACGTCGTGTGTGTGTGTGTGTGTGTGTGTGTGCGTGTGCGTGTATCAATGAAGTCACCTTGGGTGTGTTATGTGTGAGTGTTTCTCTTTGTGTTCACGCTGCCCTTTTGTTTACACCTCGTATGTGTGGGTGTGTGTGTCTGTCTGCTGGACCAGGACACACACACACACACACACTATTCCACTCTTAACTACTTTCCACACAGACGGATTTTGGACGGTTTATCCGTAAAATGACGGTTAAATTACCTGAAACATTTTACAATCGGGCCGTGAAAAGATTCTGACGGATTAAAGTCAAACGTTTCAAAGAAAAATAACAGAATTTGTATTTATTTATTTTCCTCAAACCTTTATTCAAACCTCCTTTTTATACTCATGACCTTAAGACACTCTTCCTTTTACTTTTATGTTGTTGTGTATATTCATATTTACATAGTATTCTTTTATATATATTTATATATTGTCGTCCCAGCAGGTTAATGGAAAGTTAACTCACTGCCAGTTCCAGTGGGAGATGCAGAGAGCGAGGAGGGAGTGTGACACGCTGCTGCAGCGCGCACACACACAGACACACACAGGTACAAACACACACACACACACACAGACCTACGCAGCCAGAAGGTGAAAGGATTTGGATGCTGTGTACTGACACACACACACACACACACACACGCACACGGAGACACCTCTGTCCATGGTGCTCATGTGTGTTTCAGTGGTGAAAATAGAGCGTTTTTATCTGCGTGATCGCAGCTTGTGGACTCCGACTTCTTCTCACGCTGTGTGTGTGTCTGTGTGCGTTTGTGTGTCTGTGTGTGTTTAAAGGTCACGCCATCATCAGATATTCTCATGCGATTATAAAAGCTGTAACAGCGTTTATGGGACGCTGAACGATCCAGCTGCTGGTCTTCTGTCCTCCACACCCCAGATGTTGAATAAGGAATTAGTCTGAAACAAACGATGAAGCAGAGACAAAGACTTTGTGTAGACGACGCGAAGCAAAGAAAACTATTTGACTTCATTTACAAAAAAAGAATGGTAGCCATTCTGCTTGATTGTATCTGAGAGGACGTTGTTACGTTGCGGTTTGAATAAAAAGACGTGTGGACGTCAGAGGATCTGCTGCTGCTGATTCATGTTTCCTGCTTCAGATCAGAGACGAAGCGACGGCTCCAACCAGCAGGAAGCTGTGAGTCCACTTCGTAGCTCTAATGTGTGCGTGTGTGGTTCAGGATGTCTGGGCGAGTGGGACAATGTCTCCTGTTGCCAGAGGGCGGCGGTCGAGGAGGTGTTGACTCTCCCGGGTCCCCCCCTCCTCGTCAGCCTGTTCGGCAACAACGGTGAGAAACAACTACAGAGACACAGGACAACTACAGAGACACAGGACAACTACAGAGACACAGGACAACTACAGAGACACAAGACAACTACAGAGACACAGGACAACTACAGAGACACAAGACAACTACAGAGACACAGGACAACTACAGAGACACAGGACAACTACAGAGACACAAGACAACTACAGAGAGACACAGGACAACTACAAAGACACAGGACAACTACAGAGAGACAGGACAACTACAGAGACACAAGACAACTACAGAGACACATGACAACTACAGAGAGACACAGGACAACTACAGAGACACAAGACAACTACAGAGAGACACAAGACAACTACAGAGAGACACAAGCAGCTACAGAGACACAGGACAACTACAGAGACACACGACAACTACAGAGACACAGGACAACTACAGAGACACACGACAACTACAGAGACACAAGACAACTACAGAGAGACGTAAATAGAACATTCTGGAATGTGAGTTAATATAAAGAATTTGCGGGTTTGTCTCCATAAATAAATCATTAGTTTCTTTTGGTGGACACGTCTTTAATTTAGGACTTTTGTTTTGTGGATATTAGAACAAGAAGCTTCTCTCCACAAACATCTCTACGCTTTCCTCTGCTTCCCTAATGGGGGTAATTACTTCGGGGAAGCTGCTCTTATTCATCTATTTTCTCTGTAAACACATAAACATACAGACGTGGTGTGTAAATAATGCATTGCGTGTCTCAGGTAACCTGAGCAGGACCTGTACAGAGACGGGCTGGTCCGACGTCTCCCCCCCCAGCATCACCTGCTGGTTCAACAGCACGGACGAGCCCAGCGAGGTGGGTACCGTCAGTGTGTGTGAGAGTCAGTGAGTGTGTGTGTGTGTGTCAGTGTGTGTGTGTCAGTGTGTGTGTGTGTGCGCGTGTGAGATCAAATGTTTTTCTCGCTCTACAACAGGAAGTGGTTCCGTGTACTTTTCCAAATATTGCTCCAAATTTCTCAACTCAGCCTCACAGACGTCCAGCCCCGCCCACTGGAGCTTCGCCCCGCCCCCTTCATGCGTTTCTCTCAAGCAGTCGATAAGAAAACAGAAGCTAATAAACCACGAAGCAGTGTGACAGAAGACAGCAGAACGCAGACACACACACACACACACACACACACACACACAGCTGGGCTGGGATCCTCTCCAGAGCCCCCCAGGTCGGATCCTCTCCAGAGCCCCCCAGGTCGGATCCTCTCCAGAGCCCCCCAGGTCGGATCCTCTCCAGAGCCCCCCAGGTGAGGGACTCCTGGTTTCCTGCTGAACAGGCGCAGGTTTTCCGTCTGGAGAGCGTCGAGCGGAGCCGGTCGTCCTACGGCCTACGAGAGAGCAGAAGAAGAGCCGGGAGGACTGAGTGATTGCAGAGGGAGTCCCTGAACGCATCGTGTGGGTCTGGACTTGGAGGCTGAACAGCCACTTGAACCGTGCTCACGTTCGGCTCACGTCATTAAATCACAAACTAAAGAGAATGATGCAATAAGACAAAACCTTTTCCCGCTATTTGACAGTAAACTGAGCTACTAAACTATTTATTCTCCAACACGACACCGTTTATCACAGCCAGAAGCCCTGTGTTGTCTTTACGACTGTCCTTGAACGCATCACTTCCATCAGAAAAAAGAAATGATCAAAAACGTTTTATTCTTATCGTATCATTTAAAAAAAAATTTTTAACCAAAAAGAAGATTCCAATCTGATTGGATTCACCGGAAACCAACCGTCATGTGACCGTATATCAGAGAATCTGTGGCTGAACGTCAGGAAGTGACCACATTCAGTTCCACGTTCAGAGGGCGTAGAGCCGCCGTTTATTAGCAGCATTGGTGACACGTGGACTTCAAAATGTTTCAAATGATCAATCGAAGAAATTCATGTGCGCTTCTTCTTCTTCATGATCGGGATCACATCTAAAATATCTTCAGTAGAGCCAAACTATCGATGCCTACATTTCAGAATAATCTTCTATCATTCATTATTCTAACACAGACTTTACTGTCAACATGCAAAAGAGCTGCTATAAGTATTCACACAGGTGAGGAATGAAAAGTATGGAGCTTGTTTGAAGGATGAGAATTTGAAAAGAAGGAGGATTGATTCTTTTCTGAAGTTCATCAGAAGAAAGAAAATGAATGAGGATGAAATTAAAAAGGAAAATAATGAAATTATCAGCAAAGCAAATAAAAGGAGGTGAAATGAAAAGTTGAACAAAAGAGAGGAACTGACTGAGGGAAGGAGGGAAGGAAAGAAGTAAAGGAAAGGAGAGAAGGAAAGGAGAGACAAGGCGGACAAAGGCTCCATGGAAACCGCTACATGTCTCCTCTCCATGTTCTGTCGACGGTTGTGATCACATGTTACATGTTAATGTGCACATT